TACAGCATATTTTACGGAAGCAGCTCACTTTACGGAAGTGCCGGCAACACATGTCAGAGGTCAACACCATTGTATCAAAGATCGTAAAGTCACACGCTCGTGTGGAAAAGGAAGCTAAGCTGTATCGCTCTAGTAAGATATTTGCTAATATTTCAATATTTTTACCTCCAATTTTGAATTGCAGTGCGTCATTAGGAATAGGAGCGGCATAGCAAACGTTAAGGCCACTGTCCAATATTCTTTGGGTGCGGGAAGGGGTGATTTTTTTATGCATTTGAGAATTTGTTTACCTCCCTCTCCGCGCACGTCTATGGGAGCCAGTTAAGGCTTGGTGATATCAATATTTTAAAAAACGTCACCAAGCCCTTAAGGCTAGCTCGAGCTGCTTTAAATTTAAGTGAGAGAGGGCCTACTCAACTTAAGAAAACTGAAGTACAATGGCAATGCCAATATACGTAATATTACATACCACACCGCACTGATATGTCTAGACCTAATTTTCCGTCTCTTTCGTTCGTTATGCCTCTTATTTGGGTAGGGTCGGCTCTCTCTTTAGAGAAATCCATGTCTTGCAAGATTTTCAACATGGACTTCGATTTTGACCCATAATTTCCTAAAAAGGGACCATTAAACAGATTATTTCAGTCAAGTTGGTAAGTGGAACCAATTTATTATAGCCTAGGCCTAATTTACAATATAACATGCACGAGGTAAAATGACATTTGGGAGGATTTCCGGGGCATAAAAATATGGCCATAAATGGCCATGGTGTTAGCAAGGGAATGCGTATAGTCGGCTTCCGTCTCTAAAGAGAGAGCCGACCTTACCCAAATAAGAGGCTTAGCTTAACGAACGAAAGAGACAGAAAATTCGGTCTATGATATGTCATGCTTTAAAGTACAGGTGACGCACTTCACACATAACTGACACACACTCAGCATAGGTACACACATAAAATAGAGAAATTAACGAACATGTCAGCACAACTTCCAAGTTTGTACCACTACCAGTTTAACAGTTAAATATGACGGAAATGAGAGTTCTTAATCAATGTTGTGTGATGTGACTGTTGCAACTGCTCTCAGACTCAGTCTCACTCACTCAGTCTCAGCATAAAAGTTAAAACTTAAAAATATTAAAACTTAATGCTTCGTCTGTGTTCTTTAGGTTTCAACATACGACTCCATTTCACGAAACACTGCACAGTTTAGGCCTCAGTCTGTGTGGGCTCTTTCAGGATCTATCAATCAGTCCGCGATCGGGGGGCCCGGCCCAGGCCGTTTCTGGAGCTTTGCCTGCGCCTGTGCTGTGCCTATGCCATGGCTTAGCATTCGTGTCTACAACTTTTCTTATCTGCGAGAAAAACCGGAAAAGAAATCTTGAACATGCAGATTGTTAAGCAAAATTATAAAGAAAATAGAATTACCCAGGACCAGCAGAAAATCCAAAGTCACCATCATCGTCATCTGTAGAGAAATTCATGGTAAATTCAGCAAAAGTAGATCTTTTCCGAGTTTTCGACGGGCGTATCTCGGTCTTTCATGTGACCTGTACAAGTCCGAGAGGTCGTTTTGCGCCGATTGCAAAAATCATTCTTAAATTCCTTACTTTCATGCTTGAGACACAGTTTTTAGAAGTGATAAATATTTTGATTATTGAAAAAAAATTTGCATTGAAAATTAACACTTATTTTTCCATTCGTAAACGATAAACTTCCATACAGAAAACTACGTCGTCAGTTGTTTACATTACATCAAATTGGCAACATTTAAATGACTTTCTGCACATGTACATTTGTTTACATCGGTCAGCGTAAAATAAATACATAAATGAAGAAATAAATAAATGATAGATCAGCGAAAAATGTCAAATTAACTTTTAAAAACGAGTTTGATACTTAAATAATTGATAAGAAAATCACTTTGATCTTAAATCTGGTCCTATTTCTGATTAGGTGGTCAACGTACCCTAAAACTTTTAAAAGCAATTATTTTGTCAATAGAAAGAATTGTTAAATACTAAAAAAATAGGAGTGTGCATAAGAGCAACTAGGTGATTATGAGATCATGGATGTATATTGCTATATGCTACGGATCCATAAGCACCCCCCCCCCCCCTCATTTTCGTTATTATTATGTCTCTCCGATTCTGCAATAGCTCCCGCGCATGATCTCCCGGGTCTGCGTCCCCCCCCCCCCCCCCCCCTTCCTGCTCTCGCTCTCTCTCTCTCTCTCTCTCCTTTATAAAACAATGAGTTATTGAAATGAATGTAGTTTCCTATTGCACCCTGCCGCTTCAATCCGGTTAAATCTGTATCAGAGTACGCATATAGTTGATTGGTTCTACTCGACAAGTTTTACCGTACTGCCCATTTTCAAACTCATCCTGGTTATTATTGGTTTATAACGCTTTGAATTTAATTTTTGTTGTCTTAATTCAAACCAAAAACAGGGTGCCCCAAAAACTAACAAATAACGGATTAGCTTATGTGGTTGAGGGTTTTTGTTTCATGGAGCGTTTTTTGACGCAAGGTATGACTTCATAAAATATTTACCTATCTGTTAGACTATACATTTAATAGGGATACCAGCTACTTTCAGAATATTATCTTAAAAGAGATAGTTCTGTTGCAGAGGGCTCTACACAAAAAAAAAAAAAATTGTGAGATAATGAAAAACTGAGTGTCAAATTTGAAAGAACATAATATTTAAATGACAAAATCATCTTTGTTTGATCATGCAAATTCGGTTCAGAGACGGCTGAAATATATCGATTTATAATACTTGTGTACCACCACAAATATTAGATATTTTGAAAATTTGAAAAAAAACCGTTGAAAAAAACGAAATAACGCCTTTTACGTCGTATTCTTCAGCCATTGCCGATGTTGGCTTTTTTGTTGGCATTTTCGTTTTGCTTATTAAGCACAACCAGCCGGCCCATGTATTGTTATTTTTAATTAAATAATTAATTAACGGTCACCGTATTTTTTTTTTTTAAAGTGGAGCTGAAGTGGTATGATCGTATTGGCTAAATTTCACACATTTTGGGGTCTAAATTACCTTCATAGCATTAGGTGAAAGGGCACCATAAATGTCATAGATAAGAATAAGAGCATAACCATGCACTTTGAAAACAGAACTCAACTATCCCTTTAATGCACTTTGTAATAGCCTTAACTGTGCCTCACCTATTGAAATTTGCGATTATGACAATGATCGAGGTAATACATAATCCAAAAAGGTTTCAATAGCAGGTGCGGATCCAGGATTTCTTAGGGGGGGGGGGAGGGGGAGGCCTAAAATTTGAAATTAAGTGTGCTGAAATTTGAAAATCGTGCCGGCCGATATTTCGCTAAATGGAGGGGGGATGGGTAGTGACCACACTAATTCTTCTTTTTATTTTTTGCCCCCCCCCTCCCCGGAAATTTGAAAATCACGCGGGCTGATATTTCGCACAGTAGGGGGGGGGGGATGGGTAGTGAGCATACTAGATTTTTTCTTTTTTGCCCCCCCCCCCCCCCTCCCCGGAAATGTGTGTGTGTGTGTGTGTATATTGGTTTTTTTTTACAGACGTGTATCAATCAGATTATTTACGTCTGGGGACCGACCTTTAAACGTCACCATCCGAAAGACGTGACTCAGTTTCGAACCCGCGTCCTCGGCTGAATCAGTTTGTAATACTTCCACTTTTAGCTGGATTACAGGCGCACGCCACAACGCCTATTTGAAAATCGCGCCGGCCGATAATAGTTTCACTCAATGGGGGGGGGGGGGGGAGGGGGGATGAGCACCAGTTCTGTTTTCTATTTTGCCCCCGTAAATTTCTGGTCACAATTATTATCTTTTGCCAGGGGGACCGTCTTATTTTTATTTTTTGGCAAGGGGGGGGGGCAAGGCCCGCTCGGCCCCCTCCCTGGATCCGCGCCTGTTTTATGGATACACAATACCACAATACTTTATAGGGTCATTGAAAGTGCCCTTAAGTTGATTTTTCCAAAATAGCTGCGGACGTGCTGTTCTAACAATTCGGAAAATTTCAAGTCTCTTTTAAATAAGTCGATTAAAAGTGCTTGAAAAAATAAAAATTGATGTGGAATATTCAATTATCACAACTTGACTGCACACATTTTTCTTCTTCTTCTTCTTCTCTCCTCCTCCTCCTCCTTCCTCTTCTTCTTCTTCTTTCTTCTTCTTCTCTTCTTCTTCTTCTTCTTCTTCTTCTTCTTCTTCTTCTTCTTCTTCTTCTTCTTCTTCTTCTTCTTCTTCTTCTTCTTCTTCTTCTTCTTCTTCTTCTACGGCCTTCTCGATCCTCCTTCTTCTCCTCGATCCTCCTCCTCCTCCTAGCTCCTCAGTCTTCTTCTTCTTCTTGTTCTTGTTCTTCTTCTTCTTCTTTCTCTTCTTCTTCTTCTTCTTCTTCTTCTCCGGCCTCCTCCTCCTCCTCCTTCTTCTTCTTCTTCTTCTACTTCTTCTTCTTCTCCTCCTCCTCCTCCTCCTCATGCATCCTCCTCCTCCTCCTCCTCCTTCTTCTTCGATCTTCTTCTTCTAATTCTTCTTCTTCTTCTTCATCATCTTTTAATTCTCCGGCCTCCTCCTCCTCCTCCTCCTCCTCCTCCTCCTCCTCCTCCTCCTCCTCCTCCTCCTCTTCCTCCTCATCCTCCTCTTCCTCCTCCTCCTCCTCCTCCTCCTTCTTCTTCAAGTTCTTCTTGCAGAACTTTGGTGTAGTGTGGTGTCACGAGGATAAAGTGCATGTGCCAATTGTAATTAATATCCTTTCCTCCTATATAGCATCTTCTTCTCTTTCTCCTCCTTGTGTTACTTCAACTTCTAAGTTCCTATTCTCCTTATTCTTTTCTCCCTCATGCCCATTCGCATCCCCCCCCCCCCCACTTCCGAGTGACCCCGTGCGTGCAACAGGCAGAGGCAGAATTCGAGGGGGGGGGGGGGCAGGGCTAGAGAAAGATGAGTCACATGATCTGACGTCGGTCACATGACAAAAAACGAAGTGACGAGAAGTTATGTTTTGTGTTGATCATTGAACATGTACATTGCTAAAATGGCAATATCAACAGTAATTATTCGGGTTTTGGCGTTGCTTTCTACGAATTTTCTACTGTCATGTAGTATACAGGTGAGAAAAGAAGCATCTTGTTAATGAAATTTAATGTCTATTATTCAGTAATTGTGTTTGATTGAACAATGTCATGTTCATGTTCGCGAGACGCGAGAGAGACCGACTGCGTCTACTGGAGCGGCGCGGTGCGGTGGTCGGTGTCTGGCCGGGCCTGGACTCTAGGACTAGGACTCGACTAGACTTGTGCTTGACCGGGAGGGGTGTCATGTCATTCATTTACACACTTAATTACACACATAATATGAAATACAGGGCTGTCAACCCTCCCGCATTTGGAGGGAGTCTCACGCCACCATGCTCATTCTCTCGCCGCCCCAATAGCTCGAGACCCTCCGCCAGCACGCCGCGCCTTTCCTCCCGCTCTCCCGCTTCGATGTAGAATCTCAGTCCTTGTTTATGAAAAAAACCTCTCGCCAAACATGGTACCGTACCCTGCCCAGTTACCGCTTCCTGTTACGAGTGGCTTATTAGACACAACGGTCGTCTTCCATCGCCCAAGTTTCTGCGGTGCGCAATGAAGGCATGCAGCTAACTTGCCTATGGCAGCGTACACGTTGGAAGGAACGTGTGCACGAAATATGGTACACTGTCGATCGCGCAAAAAACGGAGATACGCGAATGACGTCACTGTGCAGTAGTCAGCAATGCGCTTATTTAGGTGTGATTCAACCTTTTTAAAAACATCAAGTTCCTATTCAGAACGATCAGGAAAAAAATGTGGTGGAAAATTTACTTTTCTTTAAGGAGATATGAAAGCTAAAATTCCTGATGTTTTACCTGGGCAAATTTCTTGCGGAAATTATTATTTATAAAAAAGTTATCGAGGCTTGAACTCGGTCATGTCGCCCTGTGATGCCCCTGCCCTATTTCCGCCCACTCAAACACACGCGCTAGTTCAGTGTTTGTACCATGCGTCGTTTATGCCCTAACAGAGAAAAGCCTCATCTGCCCATGGTTTTTTAGTCTATTTGTGTGTTTGTTTTAATTTATTCATAGGGCTGTGGTTGGTGTTTTAAAAGTGCACACATTGTCTTTATTCCATTTTCAAACATTCGGTTTACTCCATCAAATCACAACTCGAGAGCATGAAGAATACACAAATACTACGTACGGCCTATGAAAGTTGTTTGTAAATTGGGAATTTGACCCCCCCCCCCCCCCCCCCCCTGTATGTTGGCCTACATTTTGCAGATAAAAGAAAGATCATAAACGAAATAACATGGTCACCAGGCATAAAACTCTTTACTGGCATTACAGCCATGCAGTTGTCTGTCGGACGGATTAAATTCAAATCTATTGGTCACATTATCTCACATTTCACTTATTGATGAGCAATATAATATCAATGTCGATGATAATAGACTTGAAATTTTGCAGGCTCACTTGCATGGTCTACAAAATAATTATTTAGAGGTGGCCATTCACTTTTTGTTGAGTTTACAACCAGAAAATAACATTCAGTGTAAATTGAGTATATGCGAAGGTTCTAGGTCAATGCGGCCCCTTGGGCAATCACCCCCGGTCAATGCAGCGGTACAATACCCCCGAGGACGATTACCCCCCCGAGGACAACCACCCCTAGGAAGTTACCCCCCGAAAAATTACCCTCTAGGACAATTATTCCCCCACCTCCTGAACAATAACCCCCAGAGGGGAATAATATTACCCCCCCCCCCCTGAAAATGATCTCCCCCTAAAAATTACCCAACTTTTTATCGGGGTTGACTTCCCCTCTAATGAACAGGGGGTATTGTTCTTGGTGGTCCGGGGGGGGGGGGGGGGGGTCATTGTCCTATATAGGGGTAAAGTTTCAGGGGTGGGGGTAATTGTCCTCTGAGGTTATTTTCCGGGCGTAGTTTGAGTCGTCCTTTGGGTAATTATCCTTGGGAGTAGTTTTCCGGGGGGGGGGGGGGGGGGGGGGGGGTAATTGTCCTTATTATGATAGGCGAATAAGGTGGGAGGCCGGGATTGAAGCCTCCTCGGGTAACGATGTGGTCTATTGATTTGTAATTTAATATAGGCCTTCTAATCATAAAGTTAAATTTTGTGACAAAATTATATATGATTGATATTAAAAAATGCTTGAAATTCGGTTCTCCGACAGTGATCTCGATGACAAAAAATATGTCCGGCTTTTAAAAAAGTTGCCAGGGTTGGTATAGATCGGCAAAAAGTTTGTATTTATGTTATATGTCGCTGAAGCTTGTGTCGCCTTTCAATCCAGCGTCGTGGCTTTGTGGCGAAAAGAGTGCTTGTTTATGATACGATACAGGATGGATGCATAGGATTGATTAGGTTTTGTTTTATATTATATACCGAGTTTATTAAAGTCTTTTTAATTTATTCCCTCAATTTTCTTCGATTACACCCCTCCTTTCCCCCATTTTTCTTTTAGTCTCCCTCTTCAATTTTATATCCATCTTTCTTAATGCTTCTATACTTTATGCTATAATTATTTTTCTATCTTTTTTCAATTGTTTGTTTGTTATCTATTTTTACCAACATGACCAATATGGACCATGGCATTTTTGCTGCCATAAATTTCTCTCAGTTGACTGTGAATAAAATAAATAAATATAAGGGTAGAAACTAGAAACCAAAATCCCAGTCTGTTGTTTTATGTGAAATAAACCTATATGAATGGCTATCGAAAGAGTAGTATAAATAATACATTTAACAAGGGCATACGCATGTCAGGCCTTTCAAATTGCTAGGGTGATTCTTATATACGTATTACGTTGTTAGTTTTGCTAAAGTTTTATGGCGAATAAAAGGTGAAAAATTTTCATCTCTATCCATAAATATCTCTCGGCAATAAAATGAATGAATATTGAATGAATAAATAAATAGATGAATGGATGAATTTGACATGTAGCATTATGTAGAAGATGTGGGGGTAGGGGGGGTGGGGGGTGTAGTGCCAAATCTAGAGAAGGACAATTTTCAGAGATTACTTTTACTTTCAATCCAGAACCAGAAAATTTTTTTTTTTTTAACTGAGGTCTCCTTTACGTACCGTTGATGCCACTAAAATGCAGAAATTGCAGGAATTTAGTCGTTCTCGGTAATGTCAACAAAATACTTAGAGACTATAGCTTTCAACCCTCTTTGGTTGTTGAAGTGGCAAAAACGTGAAGGTGATGCCCACCCCCCCCCCCACCACCCCCTTTTTGCTTTTTTAATACTACATTCTTTTGCAAAAACTGACTTGCCATGGAAGTGAATCGACGGCTTCGTTTTCAAGATCATTTCGGAATGAATTATTGAATGCATGAAATACTGCATAATTTAGAACAACTAGAAAACAAAAAACACACCAATTTGAAGTCTTGAACAAATAATCAAACAGGAAACCACATTTGCGTCACATAGGCCTACCCTAAAATTGTAAAGATGATGATTAAGACGATGTCGGCGATGATGATAATTCCTATGACGATAATGCTAGATGATTTTCCAACCAATATTGCCTAAAAATATACGCTAATTTATTTTTTAATCAAGATTTGAGAGATGTCGAGAATAATTTGCAGTTTTAAAAAAGATTTGAAGTGCCATTACTCTCTTTCCAAAGTGTTCACTTTAATAGTGGCTATAGTTTGTTTTTTTGGACGAAATGTTGTTATTGTGATTTTTTTCCCTCTCCCGATTAGCGATAGAACACTCATATTGGACTGAACAGAGTACATTATTAAAACATTAAAAGACAAGTCGCAGGATCCGTTTCCAAAGGCAGTAACAAATTGTTTTTCCAGATCAGAAACTGGTGAATAACAGAGAATTGGCATTGTTAGTAGGCCTACAGAGGCAAAAGAAGAAATAAAGAAAGAAATGTAAATTATCAAAATAACATGTAGATCGAATTTTACTGGGAAGCAATTTGATTTGGCCCGAACGTGTACCCGAGATGTTTCCCTTTTTCTATACTTTTGATGCGCGCCCACCATCGGGCGGAATTAGGGCGGGTCTAGGCGGAATTAGGCAAGGAAAATGCCTCACACAGACGGCACGCTACGGACAATCGCTTACGATTTCAGGCGTAAGAATGGCATAGGTGGATTTGCTAGAATTTCGGCAACAAATTGATAAACATTAGCGCCTGTATAATTCATTTTCAGAGAAGTTATCTGAGAAAAACTGCCTATCGGGCGGAAACCGGGCAGGGTACGGTAACCACAATTACTGCCGTTGAGCAATTTGCATACGACCTCCCTCGAAGCAGTTCCCCAAAGTTGACAGCCCTGGAATATGATATTGACCTATCAATAACATATTTCATAGATATTTGTAAGACTTTGACTGGCTAGAGTTTATACAAAACTCTAGCTTGCAAAACAAATTACCGGTATGTAACCTGACATCGACGCATTTTGCACTCTGTTTAAGTCGCAAAGATCGCGAGTTGTCAATTGAAGTTTGAACGTACATATTGGAAGACAACCAGGAGATCTACAGGATTACCTCACTCCCGTATATCAGATGGTGATGATAATGATGCTGATATTATCACCATGGCATGGCTACTTTTTTTAAGCTGTTATTGTTAAGCAGTTCAGGATTTTTGATGTACTGATAAAAGTGATATGAATATAATGAATTATGAATATGATACATGTAGATAGATAGCATTTTGAGGCTTGTGGATAAAAAATACTAGGAATAAGTAGACCTATAACCATTTCTCACTATTTTTACTCTTATTTTTATTTCTTTTTTTCAATTGAATATTTATATGATCATGATGATTTGACTAACTATAGATAGATATAGTGATAGTGAGTAATGATACATAATAACATTTATACATATTCAATGTTTATTTAACTTCAGTAATCATAAACAAGCGAGTATATGCTTATAGAGGTTACAACCATGGGTTAAGATAAAAAAAAAAACATTTTCATGAATTTCAGCAGTGGGGTCTACTGGGAATAGGGTGACTATCAACAAATAATTCTCTCTTTTAAAGGTAAACCCGATCATAGAAGAAGAGCAACTGCTATGGATATCTGGCCAGGATAATATCGGCGTCTATCGCATTCCACTCTTGACCTACACGCCTAAGGGTCATCTGCTGGCAATCTGCGAGGCCAGGAAAAATGGCGGAGGGGATTCAGGACCAAAGTTTCTGGCCACTAGGAGATCGGAGGATGCAGGTAATTTATGTCATTTGATCAACACCATATAAAAATACATTTGATAAAATAAAGTTGAAGTGTATTAAGTAATTCTGACAAAGAAAATTGAAACTAAAAATAGGTAATGTGCTCAAAGCTGTCACTCCTGCACAATAATTAACATATAATGAACAAAATAGTCGTACTGCATATTTTAAAGGCCGGCTGTACTAGTTTGGCCAGGGGGGATTAGACCTCACAGCTTGGTCAATGACAGGTGGCTATCTCATCAACTCAGCTCTCAATTAACATAAGAAAAAGAGGATCATGGGGGACCAATGGTCACCGATTATGTATTGTTTTCTTTATAGAGGGAGCAAGTAGCTACAAGTAGGACAGTGGGGCTTTAGAATAAAAAAAATGCACTGTGAAATATGAAACTTAAAGTTCTTGAATGGTCCAGATTCATAGAAGTTTCATATCTCAAAGTTATTGAATTTCTTACAAAAATGGCCATTCTTAACAAATTGAGAAAGGGATTCTGATTAGGCGCATCTTGCTCAAGATTTAAGAACCCATCTAGGTTTTTCCCTTGGACATTGAATAACCTGCAGGCTAAGTGAATATGAATATATAGCACTTGCATAGTCAGGCGGAGCACTTTAATATTCATTTTTGTTTAATTGAGCAATTACATTAGAACTGGAAAACTTTTCATTAAAGTTTTAATATGTGAAAAGGACCTTTTCAGAAGAAACATAATACTATAGATCTATCTTCTTTATGGAAATGTCATAGAAAATGGTTTAATTGATTCACCCAAATTCTCTTAATTCTCTTTGGTTATATTTCTTATCATTTTATTTTGTTTTGTTTCTTCTAGTTTTTGTTGATCCCCCTTTGATGTTTCTTCATAATCATATTTGTATATTTTTGAATTTGTGTATGGGGGGAAACATTAATTGAAGTGCGTGACATCTCTCAATTCTGTTTCAGGCCAAACTTGGAAGACCCAGGAGTTTGTCCTCAATGATGGGCCAATCGTAGACGGCCTTAATCTGGGCGTGGTCATAGTGGATGACATCACCTCAACCATCTTCATCTTCTACCAGGTTTGCGGTCACTACGTCCAGTGCAACATCTCGACCCAGTATTACATCAAGAGCATGGATGACGGCGTCACGTGGACCCAACCTTACAACGTCTCAAAACAGATCGGGACTAAGGTGTTTGCTGGCGGTCCCGGTTATGGAATTCAGGTTGGCATCATGAACACCTTTTCAAGCACATGTGACTTTGAACTAATGAAAGCAAAACTCTGACCGACTTTCTTTTAGAAATCACAAATGTTAAAGGGAGTCACTCGTCAGTTTCCATGTGCAGAAGGCAATAATTCACTGACATTAGACTTGGTGGATACAAATCATTAATGTGTGTCCAGGTACTAAGTCTGCACACAGTGAACCCGTTGGCCAATCAAAAAATACCCTCTCGGCCTCGTCTCTCGCTCGGAGAGTGTTTGGTTGAGGGAAAAGTGAGATAATGATTTTACCATATTGGGGGAAATGGGTGGAAAACGCAGTACGTTACATAAGGCATGCTGGTCATAAAACTAAAGGCTAATCCTGGTGATTGACAGCACCTCTTATTGGGTAAACACCCGAATGGTGTTGAATTCCCCATGAGAGCTAACTACGAGTGTCTTTAAACATATACAGTCACAGTGTATGTATCGTGCAAAGCCTTGATACCGGTAGTCTTAAAGCTATAAACTAACCACAACTTTGTGCTTCAAATGGGAGGTTATTTTGTATAAACCCAAATTAGAAAGTTGCTTGTCCCCCAGATTTTTCCCCTGTCGACCTTTTCTTCAAGTTTTTTTTTAGGTCCCTCCATTTCCTGGTGTGCTCTCAAAAGATGTTATCTATCGTAGGTTTTTATTAATGGTAGGATCTGTACAAAATATTTGTTAAGCATAGAACCAGGGGGGTCTTTCACAAAGATCCTTAGTATAACTTCACTCTAAGTTGGACTTGATGGAGAGCCATTTGTAGCGTTAAGATGAAACATATATTCAAAAGCAGAAATTCAAGTATTTTAGACTTTTTATAGATCCCACATCAAGAACATGAAATCTCCTTGATAATAGAAAATATGAATGAATTGAATCAACATTTTGTGCCTTTTAAAATAACTTTTACGAAATATTTTCAAGATACTAACAGCTTTCAATAATTGTTAAGTCCAACTTAGAGATAAGTTCAACTTAGGATCTTTGTGAAACACCCCCCTGATTTTTCTTGGTCAAAGGTTTGGGATTATTGTTGATCATAGTACATTGTCTGGAGAGGGTCTCTTCTGTGTCCTCAGTAATGACCATGTCCAAATCTGTTTTTCTCCATCGTCTTTTATCACACAGAAAAAGCATGCACCTCACATTGGACGATTGATCCTCTGCGGTCATAGTACATTGCCTGGTGATGGTCTTTTTTGTCTGCTCAGTGATGACCATGGTGACACGTGGAGATACGGTGGGATGGTCAAGAGTATCCCCTACAACACTGCCAAGGTCAAAGGAGACTTTGTACCAGATGAATGTCAGGTTTGTGATATTGGGTTCATCATAATGTAGGAATAATGATGATGAGGCCTAAAAAAAAAATGTTGTATTGCCCTTTAAGTGCCAAAACATGGGTCGGTCGGTCAGGAATCTTTTCTCTTTTTTTTAAACTTTTTTTTGTTACTCCCTCTTTGGGCTGATATTTCTCAGTTTTGAATGCTTAAATACATTTTTTTTTCTTAAAAAAACAGGAAAAAAAAATAAATAAATAAAAACCCGACCATAGATTTCAAGAATTTTTAGGTCGGTCGCAAAGGGCAATACAACATCTTTTTTTTTTTTAAAGGCCTGATGATTATGATGGTTACTATGGTTATGATAATGATGATGATGATGATTATGATAATAATAATGAATATGATATGATGATGATGGTAATGATGAAGATCGTGATGGTGATGATGATGAGGTACAGAGGGATGCCCCGGAACATTCCAAACAACACCATAAAGATCAAAGAAGACTTTGTAGGAGATATGTGACATGAATGTAGCATTGGGTTGGTCATATTCCCGGCCCCCCTCCCACTCCATGAACGGAGGGATACCATGCGTGTTACCAAAATGTCCGGTAAAGAGGTATATTTCACGCACCAAAGCCCGGCTTGTAGTACACAAAAATCCGGCCCGTATTGACTGTACACACCGGACTTAGGGGGGTGTTTTCAAAAGGAGGGAACATGCATATGCGTACCCTAAATAACACTGAGTGGGGGGTGTTGAAATATGATAAGAAAGAATGATGATGATCATCATGATGGTGATGATAAAGATCATGATGGTGGCATTTATGGTGATGATGATGATGATGATGATGAGGTATGAAGGGATGTTCAAGAGCGTTCCATACAACACCGACAAGACAAAGGGAGACTATGTAGAGGAAGAATGATGGGTATTTGCCGGCTTCTCTGCAGGATATTTTTTAATACTCTTTTTCCTGTTGAGTGAAATGTCTAGGCATTCTAGGTATTTAAAAAACCTTAGGAATATCTGTTTGAAGCCTATTTTGATAATCTAAAGCTTTAGTGTATTGTAAGCTATTCAGATGTTTCATTTGAATTTTTACTGAATCAAATTCAATTCAAATTCAAATCTTTATTCAACCTTTATATTAAAAAAATGTACAATGACAATCTACAATACAATGGTTAGGACCCTAGGAAGCCAATTCAGCTTGTAATGGGGGCCCTGTAACAAACAAGAACAAGATACCGGTAATGAACATAAATAATAACAAGTAAAAGAATTGCATAATACAAACATGCATATACAGTGCGTCCCTGAAAAAACGAAACCGAGAAGTATCGATGTTCTATCATAACTTAATCACAACTATAATTAATGAATGATACTTCGAAATTCAGATACCGCCCGCCAAATGTCTTTTTGGTTTCCTTCCTTCAAATTGCTTTTAATCACTCATGCCTAAAATATGCATTATCTGAGTAGCATCAACTGAAAGAGGAGACTCTAAGCTTTCCAAATATGTATCATTCATTAATTATGGTTGTGATTAAGTTATGATAAAACATCGATACTTCTCGGTTTCGTTTTTTCTGGGACGCACTGTATATAAAATGTACATTTTAATGCATTTTTAATACTTTTCTAATGCATCAGTGATAGTGATTGTGTGATGCAATCAATTTGTATTTTGTGAAAACATCACAAGTATTTTTAGGGGTTCGACACCTTAACAACATTTCTGTTGATTTTCCAGTTGATTTCAGTTTAAACTCAATTTCATTGTTTATCTCCAGCCTTTGGAGCTACCAGACGGCTCCATAATGGTCAACGTAAGAAACCAATATCAGTACCATTGTCATTGCCGAATGATCTTCATGAGCTACGATGGAGCAGATTCTTTCAAGACGGATGACCTGCGCTTTGACACGACCCTGGTTGACCCAACCGTAGCAGCTGCCATACTCTATCACCAGGGCGTCCTATTCTTCACAAATCCTGAAAGCGATACTCATAGTAAGTAGCACTCGTTTTAATTCTTTTGATACAAAAATTGCCATGAGGTCACTGTATGTATTCGTCAGCTCAAGATTGCCATATAGCCCGCTATTTCTGATTTGGGAAATAAGCCAGAAGTTACAAATATCGGCTTTATCAGCTCAAGACTCGACCTCGAAACTCGACCTCAAGAAATTAGCTAGAGATATTTTGCTCAGCGTTCGCGCAAAGTGCGAGTCTTCGGGCTGGTGAAGATGCACCGGACAAATAGCGGGATGTTATGCAAACTAGCCCAACATATCTTTGGATGATTACCTCGACCAAATATCCCGCTAATTGCAACTGCGGGCTGATGAAGACGCATATTATTAGCTGGATAATTTTCAATCGGGATAGTTCCAATAACGTTAGGTTTATTTGGCAATCTCGAGCTGATGAAGCCAGGCCTATGGTTTGTCTTATAATGACTATTGGCCTTTGACCTTTGATCTTTCACAGGAATAAATATGACGCTACGCTGGAGCTACAACAACGGCACTACCTGGGCTGGCTCCCTCCCTGTCTGGTCTAAAGACAGTGGCTACAGCACCATGACGGCAATACCCAATAACGTTCAAGATAGCAAGTATATCTACATCTTGTATGAGAAGGGACAGGTGTCATCAACTCAGTACCTCTCGCTGGTGAAAGTCAGCCTTACAGGAGATCTGTAGCACTTTATGTGACAGAACCAATTGTATTGTATACAATGATATTAAACTAAGTAAAAATCTTGATAAATTTAAAAAACTCTTGAAAAATGAAATGTTCTTGCAGTACAAAAACCACGCTCAATTAAATAATGAATAACTTTTTTTTTTTTTTTTTTTTTTTAATTTTGTATATAAATGTTTTGTAATACTGCAAAGCACCAGCGGGGGGCGGATATAGTGACGCAGTGTCGCTTGACGTCGTGTCCTGTGTTCGTCCTTTGCTGGTGCTTTGCTGTAAATGTCTTATCCTCATATACATGTAGGTCTTTATAATCTTTTTTCTTGTATATATTTGTTTTCCCGTTAATGATGTTTTTGTTAATTTTCTCGATATATGTGCCATGGTTGGTGCCCCAATCACAAGTTTGTTTTCAAACTTCTTCAGGGGCCCCTAACCCCATGTTTTTATATTTTCATGAATTATTATTGTATATGTATCTTTTTATGGTTGAATAAATAAATTGAAATTGAAATTGAAATTATTTTAGGAGTAACATTAAGTTTTTCAAATGCATATTGTTAGTACATTAAATCACCTATATATTGCAAAGAAATGCTATTTTTCTAATGATTGTCATTGTGATGAAGAAAAGATGATGCTGATAAAGATTGTTTTGTATTATTATGTTAATAATAATTATTATTATATCCAGCATCAAAAATGTATTGGCTTTTGATTGGTTGAGAGCTTGTCACATGACCAGAAATATTTCAACTATTTCCAGGTTGCTCTGAAAAAGTACTATTTGGGAGTTGACATTTTTTTATTTTTTTTTATTGCGATTTTTTTTTCTTAAAATCTTAATTTAATTATTTGATTTTGATTTTTGATTCTTTTTTTTAATATAAACTTCTTTTTTTTAAAATAATTTTGAATGCAGGATATGACACAAATATACCATGCCTTCTTTTCGAGGTACTGGTTAAAACTATGGGCCTCGGTGACACCAATAGTACCATTTGCTATTGGAGGCACCTCTTTGGTATAGTTTTAACCAGAACCTCTAAAGACCTCTAAAAGTGTATATTTGTATACTAATATTGTTATTTTTTATCATTATTACAATAGTAGTAGTTGTTGTAGTAGCAGTAGTAATAGTGGTAGTAGAAATAATGATAATTGTTGGGGTTCAACATGGGTTAAAGAGGAGAAACAGGAGAAAATGTATTTCTTATGAAGGTCTCTAGGAATTTAACTTGGAGGTAAGTAAGTTTTGTGCATTTATGGGTCCATCAACTACTTGCAAATCATTTTTACAATTGTAATTTTGGTATTTAGATTTTCAATATCTCTTTTGTACCAAAGTTGTATTTGAAGTTGAATTGGCTGATATTTTTTAAAAAGCTTGCTGTATATATCAAAACATTATTGGAATTGCTAAAGAAGAAGTCATAGGATGACAAAAAAAGGTGATTGGTTTTAAGAAAAAAATCAGTAATTTGACTCACTAAAAAGCATCATATACTCTAGTGCAAACCTAATTTAATTGAGTACATCTCAATGTATTTCAATGTTGATTATTATTGTTAGACTACCAATGTTTGGAAACAGTGCATTGGGTCCTGTTGAATGAGTAGACTGAATAAAACAACAAATCAAATCACTGCCAAGATGTGGAACATCAATGCTCCTTCTAAAGACTAAACCAGGGAGAGAGCGTTAAAAACAAAAGAAAATTGTAATGAGAGTTAAAAGAAGGGTTTACAAATCCAGGCGCTTGAGCAAGGCATTCAAGTAAGTCATGGCAAAACGGCACCTCACCCTACCCCTTACTTTTAACTGGATTTACATTGATCTCATGATAAAAAAGTTATTTTAAAAAAAATCTAGAAAAATAAAATCAGGGAATTAACAGGCCTGAACTGAACCTTTGTACCTCTGTTATGAAAATTTGAACACTTACATGTAATCATTTATGCTTAAATTGCACAAAATTTACTTACTTTGTATTCACTTGTACAGCTGTCTATACCATCATGTAGTCGGCCCATCCTAAAACCTAGAATTTCTGTTGGATACCATTATGTACGTACTGTACAGTATGATGATCCAACATTTTTTAAGGTGACATTTAGTTTTACCCAGTCTTTATTTCATCAAAGAGAGAGGGGAAGGGATTGTATATTAATACAGTTTTTTAGCCTAGATTTAGGGTAAGGGTTATAGGTGTAATGGTAGGTTGAATTCAGGAATTTGATTTTAAAGTGTAAGAATTAGCCACAGAGAATTGTCACCAGGGCCTCATTTCAAAAAGCCTTTTTTCAATGACAAATTACAAAAATCAGTGATAAATCTGCTGATAACCAATCAGAAACAAGGAATTTACTAGCTTGTAACACAAACTGTCATTTGTCACTGATGACAAGTTTTGTGAAATGGGGTCCTGGTCATGCTCTATCTACCACCGATATAGAAATACCACCCGTCTATAATGACCACCTTTTTTTCTTTTTTTTGCAGATGAGCAGTACATGTTTAACATTGAAATGTAAATTAGAATCTAAACTTAAAGGCTACTTGTCAATAAAGGCTGCTTCCCTCATCTCCCTTGAGCAATTGGTCTTTATATACAGGTGTTTTAGTTGAATACGATCCTAATGATTTATACCAGAAAGGGGAGGGCCGTATATAGAAATTCATGTAGCGTAGTTTGATTTTAGCCTAGATTTATTTTTTTTAATTTTTTTTTAATTTTTTTTTTATTAATGATTGAATATTTATATCTAATGTAAACAGTACTAGGTTCTAAGGGTTTTCACTTCATAAAATTTGTATTGCATAATTTAAAATTGTGCTGTAAACTTTTACATTTAAATACTTGTGCATTTACATGAAAGAACAACCAATTATAAGTTTTTCCTTGATATCACAACTAGCAAGTGGATTGATATGTACCATTTATCTGCTACTACTGAATAGCCCGTCTTGAGTGTGATTATATTTTTTTTTACCTATCAGCTTTCTGAAAGCTCTAAAATATCATTATTGATAAACAAATTTAAAAATTGCATGGGATATTATACATGATCTTTTTTATAATGATATGTAAAAAGATCACATTTGAATGCTGCAATAAGTATGATAATGTGTACTTACCCGATTGGTATTAAATTGAGTGTTTTGGTCGTTTACTTGGAAACATTGAAGCACTATACAAATATCCTCTTGTTTATTGTGCAGTTACACTCAAAAGTAAAAATAAATTATGTTGATTGGGAGGGTGGCATAGTTCAATGAAATGATCTTCTAGTGACCTTCTGTTTTGATAGTTTAGATGTTATACAGATTTAGTACATGTTCACATATATGTTTATTGTAGCCTGGCTATTAAAAGTATGTATTCAATAATTATCTTTTAAATCAAAAGATGATGCTGATAAAGATTGTTTTGTATTATTATGTTAATAATAATTATTATTATATCCTGCATCAAAAATGTATTGGCTTTTGATTGGTTGAGAGCTTGTCACATGACCAGAAATATTTCAACTATTTCCAGGTTGCTCTGAAAAAGTACTATTTGGGAGTTGACATTTTTTTATTTTTTTTTATTGCGATTTTTTTTTCTTAAAATCTTAATTTAATTATTTGATTTTGTTTTTTGATTCTTTTTTTTAATATAAACTTCTTTTTTTTAAAATAATTTTGAATGCAGGATATGACACAAATATACCATGCCTTCTTTTCGAGGTACTGGTTAAAACTATGGGCCTCGGTGACACCAATAGTACCATTTGCTATTGGAGGCACCTCTTTGGTATAGTTTTAACCAGAACCTCTAAAGACCTCTAAAAGTGTATATTTGTATACTAATATTGTTATTTTTTATCATTATTACAATAGTAGTAGTTGTTGTAGTAGCAGTAGTAATAGTGGTAGTAGAAATAATGATAATTGTTGGGGTTCAACATGGGTTAAAGAGGAGAAACAGGAGAAAATGTATTTCTTATGAAGGTCTCTAGGAATTTAACTTGGAGGTAAGTAAGTTTTGTGCATTTATGGGTCCATCAACTACTTGCAAATCATTTTTACAATTGTAATTTTGGTATTTAGATTTTCAATATCTCTTTTGTACCAAAGTTGTATTTGAAGTTGAATTGGCTGATATTTTTTAAAAAGCTTGCTGTATATATCAAAACATTATTGGAATTGCTAAAGAAGAAGTCATAGGGTGACCAAAAAAAGGTGATTTGTTTTAAGAAAAAAATCAGTAATTTGACTCACTAAAAAGCATCATATACTCTAGTGCAAACCTAATTTAATTGAGTACATCTCAATGTATTTCAATGTTGATTATTATTGTTAGACTACCAATGTTTGGAAACAGTGCATTGGGTCCTGTTGAATGAGTAGACTGAATAAAACAACAAATCAAATCACTGCCAAGATGTGGAACATGAATGCTCCTTCTAAAGACTAAACCAGGGAGAGAGCATTAAAAACAAAAGAAAATTGTAATGAGAGTTAAAAGAAGGGTTTACAAATCCAGGCGCTTGAGCAAGGCATTCAAGCAAGTCATGGCAAAACGGCACCTCACCCTACCCCTTACTTTTAACTGGATTTACATTGATCTCATGATAAAAAAGTTATTTTAAAAAAAATCTAGAAAAATAAAATCAGGGAATTAACAGGCCTGAACTGAACCTTTGTACCTCTGTTATGAAAATTTGAACACTTACATGTAATCATTTATGCTTAAATTGCACAAAATTTACTTACTTTGTATTCACTTGTACAGCTGTCTATACCATCATGTAGTCAGCCCATCCTAAAACCTAGAATTTCTGTTGGATACCATTATTTACGTACTGTACAGTATGATGATCCAACATTTTTTAAGGTGACATTTAGTTTTACCCAGTCTTTATTTCATCAAAGAGAGAGGGGAAGGGATTGTATATTAATACAGTTTTTTAGCCTAGATTTAGGGTAAGGGTTATAGGTGTAATGGTAGGTTGAATTCAGGAATTTGATTTTAAAGTGTAAGCATTAGCCACAGAGCAATTGTCACCAGGGCCCCATTTCAAAAAGCCTTTTTTCAATGACAAATTACAAAAATCAGTGATAAATCTGCTGATTACCAATCAGAAACAAGGAATTTACTAGCTTATAACACAAACTGTCATTTGTCACTGATGACAAGTTTTGTGAAATGGGGTCCTGGTCATGCTCTATCTACCACCGATATAGAAATACCACCCGTCTATAATGACCACCTTTTTTTCTTTTTTTTTGCAGATGAGCAGTACATGTTTAACATTGAAATGTAAATTAGAATCTAAACTTAAAGGCTACTTGTCAATAAAGGCTGCTTCCCTCATCTCCCTTGAGGTATTGGTCTTTATATACAGGTGTTTTAGTTGAATACGATCCTAATGATTTATACCAGAAAGGGGAGGGCCGTATATAGAAATTCATGTAGCATAGTTTGATTTTAACCTAGATTTATTTATTTATTTATTTTTTTTATTTTTTTTTTTATTAATGATTGAATATTTATATCTAATGTAAACAGTACTAGGTTGTGAGGGGTTTCACTTCATAAAATTTGTATTGCATAATTTAAAATTGTGCTGTAAACTTTTACATTTAAATACTTGTGCATTTACATGTAAGAACAACCAATTATAAGTTTTTCCTTGATATCACAACTAGCAAGTGGATTGATATGTACCATTTATCTGCTACTACTGAATAGCCCGTCTTGAGTGTGATTATATTTTTTTTTACCTATCAGCTTTCTGAAAGCTCTAAAATATCATTATTGATAAACAAATTTAAAAATTGCATGGGATATTATACATGATCTTTTTTTATAATGATATGTAAAAAGATCACATTTGAATGCTGCAATAAGTATGATAATGTGTACTTACCAGATTGGTATTAAATTGAGTGTTTTGGTCGTTTACTTGGAAACATTGAAGCACTATACAAATATCCTCTTGTTTATTGTGCAGTTACACTCAAAAGTAAAAATAAATTATGTTGATTGTGAGGGTGGCATAGTTCAATGAAATGATCTTCTAGTGACCTTTGTCTTGATAGTTTAGATCTTATACAGATTTAGTACATGTTCACATATATGTTTATTGTAGCCTGGCTATTAAAAGTATGTATTCAATAATTATCTTTTAAATCAAATTTAGTTATTCTTGTATAAACTGTTTGACTGGATTGAGGTTGTGCAATTGAGCTTGATTTTTTTTTTTAATCGTTTACAAATCTCATTTTCTATGTTTCTATTAGAAATCACTATTTTCAAATATTTCATTCAATTTATTTCCACCATAATATCATCAATGTTTATACAATATTGTGTTCAGAAATAATTAAAAGGTGGTTGATGCATCATGGAGGGCAAGTGACATGTTGTAAATGATTCCGTATTAATTTGTATCAAATGTTACTACGTTTAAAGGGGGGGGGGGTCCATCCCAACATCAAGATGATTTGAATGAATGAGGAAAAGCAGAGAATTAGTTTAGGTGTAGCTTGAGAAAAACCTCACGAAATTTGGAGTGATGTTTGGTTTTGAAGTTTTGAAGATCTCTATATACACAAAGTTGTATTCTCAATTTTTTGAATTAAGAGTGTATTTTTGTATTTTTTTGTATTTTATCACTTGTGGTGGTGGTTATTTTACCTGCCTGCTAAGAAAGCATAAATGCTTGTGAGTGTGTATGTGCATGTGTGCATGTATGTGTGTTTTAAAATTTGAACATGTCTCTAATGATATATTCAGGGCACAGATTGAGAAAACATCTTCTTTAAAAGAAATGGAAATTTGTTTCACAAAACAAGATAAGAGTAGCTTTTATAGGAAAATTATAGATTTTACAATTTTAATCTTCCAAACTATAAAAGAACCATTCGAAAATGATTTCCTTATACTTACAACACATATCTCGCATTCTGCTTATAATTGAAATCAAATTAGGAGTGACTTCACTTTATAAAAAAATGTTCAGATGTTGATGACTTGAACAATATAAACAATATGAACATCATCAAAAACATCAATACATATTAATATATAACATAAAATAATTAAAGAATAAGAGTGGATAATGAACCAAGCCGTACTAAGAATGATAAATTTCAATGAGCAATTTCAAATCGATAAAAATAACGCATTAGCGTATACACTGATTATCATCAATAATCTGTTCATATTATAACATATTTTCATATTGAGAAATATATGTGAATATTCACGAAAGAAAGAAAGAAAGGCAAATAATAACACTTTATTAATAGATTTCAACTAACAATGAGGCGTTCGAGCCTCATTCATATGCAAGTCATGTCAAATATAATTCAATTCATGTATGCAATGCAAATAGTATAAGAGTTTAAATGTACATTATGTACAGATGTGTTGTCACTTTTGTCTGACAACAAAGTAATTTACCTAAATAATAATAGCTGAAAGTATGGATGGTAAATGCAGTGTAATAACAATGATAGGAACAGGTTTATGATGTAACAGTATTGGATCGCTAACAACTGAATTCTACTCCAAAGTGTACCTTTTCTTTCATAAGAAAACATGAGAAGTAATTTTATTCTGGGCTAAACACAACATAGCCTCTCAACTATCCTGCAGCCATCCAATAATTAATCTAATCCAAGTTTGAGTCCAAATCCGGGTCCAAATACTCAACTGTCTAACTTCTTATTGCCAACTGCATAATCTACCTTCATAATCACCACTCAATGGGAATTTCACTTACAGGTTTCTCCACCCCTAGTCATTCTGTTGGCTAACCAGGTGACTTTAAATACCAATGTCTCTATGATAAGATAGCCCGTCGAAAGTTCCAATTCCTACTTATCCCCAACTTCAGAATTAACAAACCAGTTTTAAACCCGTTTTATCTAAAAGTTCATCTCTTGCTGTCTGTAATTCAGTGCTAAACATACATTTTACTGTTCAATATTGATAATACTATAGAGATAATGTCCAATATTGATTGTCACACACTTTTAGGAGTTGTAATTAACTCTATCTTAAGCAACGTTTCTTACTGTACAACTTCTGAGTGCCAAGCCAGAGAGAAAGTGTGTATACGTGTGATGAGTTAACAGATTCACAATCCAGGTTGCTATCATGTACTCACATTTAGATCAACTACATTGTTATACATGCTTTTGACACATGGGAGCAAATGCATTTTTAATTCAAGTAAATGATTGGCTGCCTTTGTCCTCTATATAGATACATTAACGAGGCATCCACTATCTTACAGATATATTGAACTACAGTTATACACCAAATTACTATGTACAAGTATAAAATACATATTCAAATTGTTGTGGTACTAAAATCTAAATCTAAATCTAAATCTAAAGGATGCCTCATATATATTAACATGCACTGGTGACATTTTCCGTTACCGAGGCCCGAAGCCTCCCTGTCAAAACATTCATGTCTTTGGTACTTCACTTAATCATAAAATGAAAGTTTACCACTCATGTAATAGGACATCTTAAATGATTACGGTCATGGTAACAACAACTTTAAGAAAAATGCCAGCCAAGCCAGTATCAAATTCGTGCCATCACCTTGTTAGATTGATAGTAATATGTGTTTGTGTTGATGCACTAATATAGAGTATTTTTTTCAGTTAAATCATAACAAATGTGACTTGTGATAAAATATTTAGATAAAAATCAATAATTATGAATATACAATATTCAGAAAATAGTATCAATTCTTCAAAGTTCATAAAACATTTTGTGCAATGTCATGCACGCAATAAGATACAAATCATATCACCTGCGCAAAGGCATGGGGAAATCAAGTTTTGGGGAATAAACAGATAAATTAAAGGGATTAAACTATATAAAGCAATTGATACATAGTGAGGACATGACGTCACAAACTGATAATAAATTTGGCAATTTGTGTAGTGATTTCCATTGTTCTATAGTTTTACATACTTTTTCAAAAATTCTAAACTTTCTTTTTAGTTATCTGATTTTGCTCAAACTCTTTTTGATTGGTTTGTCTGATTTTTCTGCTTCTATTGAAAGTAAGTTATTTTTGGAGTGGACTTGTACTTTAAGTCCCCAATTCTGCCACAGCGGCTCAACCACTATAAAATCACCACTATGGCCAACTATAACATTTGCCAACCAGTGCGATGCCTGAACTATTTAATTCCATCAAACTAGCCCTGCCAGTTTAAGAATGCAATTAATTACGTAACTTTCAGCAAATTACTAAACATGTCCAAATACATGTAAACAGTACGTCCCGGAAAAAACGAAACCGAGAATTATCGATGTTTTATCATAACTTAGTCACATTTATAATTAATAAATGACACATATTTAGGAGTTCTTTTTGCTGCGTCTTGTGTTCTTCTTCGTTTTATGATGTATCTTTCTGCGTCTCGTCAACCGTATACTAATTCTCATGAATCGTCAGCCACGTCGTGTGGTCCACACAAGTGACATCAACAACCCACGGTTGTCGAGCACATCAAGACGGCGTAAAGATATGCTCTTCATAGTCGTCTTGCTGGCGCCTAAACTCCACAATAATGTCTTTTTTGGAAATTGCTGGGGTAATAATAATTACTGGGTAATATTCATTGCTGGGGTAATAATAATTGCAGGGCCCACAGGACGAGCAGTGTTCTATTGTCATATTGATGTGGCGACCCTGGGTAAATAAGGCCTGAGTTTTTGATAAAATTACAGTTTCTAACCAATATTTCCGATGTCCAAACAAGATGTCGATGTAGAAAAGGTTGACAGATAAATTATAGTTGCACTGATGACGAAAAGAAAGGAATCTGTGGTTTTACAGATCATTTGCTCTTATCTTTTTGTTTTCTGCGAAGGGCAAGTAAAAAGAGTAAGGCATTTACCTCCAGAAAGCAAAAACCAAATCCAATCCCGACAAACACCGTAGTGAACGATTGTGTGGCATCCTTGATAAGACCTGCGTGTGAAAGAAAAAAATTACTATATGAGAATAAAGTGATAGGTGATATTTTCAATAAAAGGGAATATGATGCTTTTGTACAATTTAAAAACGTGTACATTGCCACATTGACCTCATGGGAGAAGAATTCAAGATTTAAAAAAAAAAATCATTACTATTTCTAAAAAAAATAGATCGACATGCCAGTTAAACAAAATTTCTCTTACTCATATGATGTTCCTTTTTTCGTTTGGTTTGTTTGTTTGTTTCGCTTTGCTTTTGTCTTGTTAGTATAATATGTTTCTTCAGATAAGTTGTTTGCAAATCTACTTCGACCACCACTTCCATTAAAATTGCCATCAGCGAAGTCTCGTGACGTCACTGGCAACATTGTTTACATTTTTGTACCAAACACCAGTGACAACGTGTAGAAATTTTGAACCATACCTCCAAGGAAACCTCCAGAGATCCCTCCAAGCCCCGATACAAGACCATAGATGCCCGCAGCCATAGTGAAGTTCTCGTCGGAAACGGAATACTTCAGGTAACCTGGGAGCGCCAGATTGCCGGAAAAGACACTCCAGCCTTGGATAAAGGAAACAACGCACATCACTGGAAACGTCGTGATGAAGGGGTCTGCCAGAAAGGTGACTGCAGACAGCATGAAGAACACGCAGGACAGAACTATTGGGTTAGCACCGAAGTAGAGAAGTGCTATAAAGAAGACCCGGCCCACGATACCCCCTGTTCCACCAGCAGTCGACACGAAGACTGCCTTGGAGCTCGGGATGCCATGCCATTCCGCTCTGGGCACGAGAAAGAGCACCCAAGCATTTAAACAAACTGAAGTGAAGAAAAGACACGGAAGTGCCATGGTGAAGAGAGGCTCTTTGATTAAAATGCAATTTTTGAGCCATTCCTTGAGATTTGTAAGGCACCCTGTGGATGATTTTGGTTCTTCCTTCGAGATACATTCGTCGTCCTCCACTCTCGCCAGTTTCTCTTCGCTACCAGTTGTCTCATCATCGTTATCATCCTTCATAGCCGGTTTTGAAGGCCTATCTCGGGGTTTCTTCAGAGTGGCACTTGCTGGAATGGCATGCAACGAAAAGGCACTAAGTATGAGCATCGCTCCAATGTAACCGTAGGCCTCCAGCGACCTCTCTATGACGAACGGCGCAATGAAAGCTCCTGTTGCACTACCAAGATTGGCGACTGCAGCCATTAAAACATAACTCCTTTTAAAATATTCATTCAGCATCACTTTGGAAGAAAAGTAACCCATGGATAAGCCAACACCTGAAAGAAAACGAAAGAAAAATTGGGATTTTCTTTTAAAAACTTATGATCGCTTTTGCCTTTTCAATTCACATACTGTGCACCAACTGTATTTTTTCATTTTAATCCTCCGTTCTTGACAGGGGGTAAGGAGTTCCAGGTTGTACGGGCAATCACGGAAAATTATAAGCACGCGTTCTCGTGGCACAACTATCCCCATCAATATGCTATGGTAAATTTCAATTGCTGATTACGGATATTGAAATAAACAAACAAGCAGACAAAGAAACAGGAACAAAAAAACCAACCAACCCGTGAGTGAGAGGCATAGTCCTAGTTCCGGTATTGATGTGGTGAAGCCAGCAGCAATCAGAAAGGCCGAGGATAAGAACGCACCAATCAGAGCAATCATTCGGGGTGTCAAAACACCTGTCTTTAAGACGTAAGCAACAGCGGGACCTGTTGATGTGAAAAGGAGCAAACGAGAAGAGAAGGTTCAGAACAATTGTTTGTATTACTATTATTTTATTCCACCTCACTTCGTGTAAACATGATCGTAAATTGATTTTCGATTCACTTTGGAAATGTGAGAATATTATAATGAATTATTACGTAATCCGACCATGATTTTCTATGGGAAATACAATAGGGTGTTGAAATTGGCCTTGAGTTGATTTCTCGAATGTCGTTGTGACCGACCGTGATCAATTTATAAACACAACCAGGAGTAAGTTAAAAAGCAAAAAGTGTACCTGCAAAACATTAATAATACAAGAAATCATTGACGTTGCAAACATTGCAATAACTATCGCCCCCCCCCCCTGCCCCGTAAAATACGCTAGTGCCCCAATTAAATTTGCTTACATGCAATGTTCATCCAGGCAGATGGCATGCTACACGCAAGCCCTATGGTCTTTGTATTTGTTGAAAGGATATTAATCATGACGGGAATGAGAACACCAAATGACTTGGAAATCGCCACCTCGATGCAGTTGATGACAAACTTGCTGACTACAATAGTGTACTTCCAAGGGTCCTTCGAATCCTCGCTCTGATGTGTGGCCATGTTGGTCTATTGGTATCTAATTTGAGAGATGGGCATGCAAACATTGTTAGAAAAATTGAGAGAAAAGAACAAGTTTACAACGTACTTGCATTTAACACACTCACACACACACACGCGCGCGCACTTTGTCTATATATATATATATATATATATATTTAATAGCAATTTTTTCATCTATCGTTATTCCCAGAAATTTAGTATTTAAAACTCTTTGAGTAATGGTACAATAAAAAACAACATTGCCTGAAGTTCATTTATTATGTTACTGAAGAGCATGTAGTTCGTCTTTTGCAGATTGAGAGATAATTTATTGGCTTTGATCCATTCTGAAACACATCTTAATTCCTAGTTGATGGTGGAAATCAAAATATGTGGGTCCTTATGGGAAAAGAAAAGATTTGAGTCGTCAGCAAAAAGAATAAAAGATAAAACCTCCGAAGACTTACAGAAATCATTAATATAAATAAGAAAAAGAAGCGGGCCCAAAATAGAACCTTGTGGGACACCACAGCTTACATCTTTAGTATTAGACAGGGCATTGGCAATAGAAACACACTGCTGCCTATTGTGAAGGTAGTTCCTGAACCACTCCAAGGCTATTTCTCTAACTCCATAATAACTGAGTTTGTAAAAAAGTATATCATGATTCATTGTATCGAAAGCCTTGGAGAAGTCCTGGAACACCCCAACAGTATGTTCATATTTATCGATCCCACTAGCAATCTTATTAATCATGGTCAACAACGCATGAGTAGTGCTGTGTTTTGCACGAAACCCGAACTGCAACTGGTATAATAATTCCAATAATAATAATTCCAAGGATCCTTCGAATCCTCGCTCTGAAGTGTGGCCATGTTGGTCTATTGGTATCTAATTTGAGAGATGGGCATGCAAACATTCAAGGGTGTCGATTTGTATCCGTGGTTGGGGGGATGATAGGTGCCAAAATATTTTCGGCAATGGATCAAAGCAACCAAGAAGTAGAAGCGTGTGGCAGGTTGCACCCCCTCCCCAAGCCCCGCGAAGCGCGGAAGCTCTGACGTTTCATCAGATAATTAAAGAAAGAAGACGATTCGATGAAACATTCTAGACTCTTAATCCTTGTATGAATTCAGTTTCCCCCCCCCCCCCCTCCCTTGCGAAGCGCTGAAGATTTGACGTTTCAGTACATTTTTACTCTTAATCCTTGTCTGTTTTCATTTTCGCCCATCCAGGGCGAAGCGCGGAAGCTTTACAGTTTCATTAAATTATTAGAGAAGGAAGAAGATTCGTTATATCGTGTCCTGGTCTGAATTCAGTTTTCGCCCTCCCGCGCAAAGCGGGGAAGCTTTGACGTTTCATTTGATTATTACTCTTAATCCACGTCAGAAATCATTTTCACCCATCCCGCGCGTAGCGCGGAAGCTTTCGCCACTTCGGCCACTGATTAGGCCCATTATTGACTATACAAAATATATGCTCTTCCTGGCTATTTTGGAATTTGCCAGTTTGCAACAGAAATGGAGAAACGCGAATTTTGTTGAAAATCATGTGATAGCCTATCACGAACATTTATAAATCACTTGTATGAAATTGAAAATAAGTTGTTTTTTTTGGGGGGGAGGGCCTAGCGCCCCCAAGCCCCCCACCAGAACGCCAGTGACATAGGCCTACATCAGCTTTTCAATAAAACTAAAATAATTTGTGACATAATGATCTTTCTCCAAAAATGAAAAATGTTTTAGGAAGTATCAGGAAATGAAATGAGTGAAAAAAGGGGTGAACGGAAACAACAAAGCAACTAGTGAACTATTTTACTTATCAGTCATACTGATGTCCGTAAATCTTTCTCTTTGTCTCCGATCTCATCACGAATTCGTCACAGAGTTCATCTATGTTTACACTGTCCAGGATTGTCTGATGTGCATTGCAGATTCCTACTTTTAGCTCGTTGTTTTTTAACGCTGCGTCTTTGTATTTGGCGCACTGCATTTCTATATGTTGATTGAACAAATTGAATAAATTCATCAATTCCTGATGAAGCCGTATGAGCGAGAATTCAATTTATTCTTGTCTCATATACGGTTGTCTCATTTACTTCGTATGTATGTATTATGAAAATGAGATAGCAAAATATGTATATTGATGGTCATCTTGCGAGTAATAACAATTAACTACTCTCATCGGGCTCTCATCACTAATTTTTTTTTTTTTTTTTTTTTTTTTTGAGGGTGAATTATTGGGGGGGGGGGGGATGATTGTACAGGCCACCCCCCCACCTGAAATATTAGGGGGGATATATCCCCCCCCCCATCCCCCCCCCCGGGATCGACACCCATGCAAACATTGTTAGAAAAATTGAGGAAAAAAACAAGTTTACAACGTACTTGCATTTAACACACTCACACACACAAACACGTGCGCACTTTGTCTATATATATATATATATATATATATATTTAATAGCAATTTTGTTTTATTCCTCCAAATTTGTAATACAAACGAAAACATACAATTGAACAAAATAAACGTTTTCAATAATGATGCTTATACATAAACCCAAAACATGATTAAACAAAACAAAAACTTGTTTGCAGTATATACCTAGGATGTTATTTTACCGGTACAATTTTTTTTAATTTTTTTTTAACAATTTTGTTTTATTTCTCCAGATGTGTAATACAAACCATGACATACAATTGAATAAAATAAACGTGTTCAATATTGATGCTTTTACATAAAACATAATTAAACACAAACTTATTTGCAGTATAATATAACTTAGCAACAAAGTAAACGTATAAGTACTTAAACATAATATGTCAATTGTAAATGTTATTTACTTATATATATTACAAAAAAACAAACAAATCTGGAGGTAATTTTACTGAAACAATCCTGCCCCCTCCCTGCCTCCTCCATCACACAGACATACTCACCCTCTATCACACAAACATACTCACCCACTCCCACACATACTCACCCACCCACCCACCCCCCCCCCACACACACACAGTACTCACTCAGTGGATGTCTGCCAACATTCTCAACTCATGAAAAATATACTAAACTAGATTTGTAATACTTGTTTGGAACAAGTATAGGTGGGCTGATCCAACAAAAAATTGAGACAAAATAAAGGGTACATTTGAAATAGCTTTTTGTCTCAGCTACAACATATTCGGAGTTCAGCGTAAATGAAGCTAAAACGACGTAGATATTGCTCGCGAAAGACGGGAATGTAGAATCAAGTTTTGAGAAAAAGTCATGTCCCATAGAGAATACACGCAAAATGTGAAAAAATTAGCTTGCCTCCTTTAATCGCAAAAATACGCCATGATGCCCTTGTCAAAATGAAAAATTGTGACAACTGGATTTGTAGAGAATTGTCTCAGCTAGAACATATCAAAATTTTAAAGAAAATTAATCAATTTTTAGAAAGATACAATCAATTTTCCAAAAAAATGCTGACGTCATAATAGGCAAATTGAAATTTTGAGTTCGGAGGCCATTATGATGACGTCATGATTTAATTGAGGGTCAAATGAGACATGAAATCATATCTCTGATTCATACTCGCTCAAAATATGAAAAAAAAATTGGGGTCACCTTGCATCCTAAAGAGCTATAATGGATTTTGCATAGGCATGTTTTTGCCCATATATGCTATGTATTACAAGAGCTCGCGCGCATTGAAATTTATGTTAAACGGTCGATTATTCAATTATTTATAGTCATAAAGAGACAAACATGGTATCAATTTGTTTGTAAGAATATGTGGAATATTATGAAAGAAAAAAAATGGCGATTCTATGGTGTCTAATAGTTTTACGCGCGAAAACGCGCGCGCATGCGCGTGTGCGCGATTTTTTAAAAAATGCTTAGAATGGCCTAAAACGTATGCAAAATGATTTTGAGACGATTTTGAGCATTTCAAAATTTTGCGCGCGCATTGACGCGCGGACGTACGCGCACGCGCGCGTTATTTGACCTGAAATTGACCGGACGGATATTGACCCTGATCATGATAAATATGAATCAGAAATACCTTTTGGTTATGAAGATATGATCAGGAGTTGATTTTCGTAAAATTTTACAAAATGGCGCCTAGATGACGTCATCAGTGAAGGTCAATGTTGAAAACGTTATTGTGCTTTGTACATATGCCTATACATATGTGTGCCAAATTTCAAATTATTTGATTGAGCCATTTCCAAGTTATCTTGCCAACAAAAAAGTGGTTAGAAATAAGAAAAATATATAAATAATAAATAATAAATAATAAATAAATAAAGGCAATTCTAACGAAATTATAAGGTGGTCTGTACGTTATACAGCCCACCTGATAAGTTATCCAGGCCACTACATAAGTTATCCAGGCCGCAAAATCGAGTTACGCTTTTAACAGGCTCACGGTGGAGAAGAAAGCAAATCTTAATTAATCTTAAGCTGCTCCCACTTTAAGAAATGTGATCCTAGCTTTCCAATTTTAATTGCTATTTTCTTTTCCTCACCCCTATACTTAAAAATGCTTTTTTTCATCTTTTCTAAAGTTAGTACTCGCCCCCCCCCCCAATCTTGACATAAATGTAACATACTTCACCATGAAAATGATAGTATTACACATTTTTATTCTATATGAACTACCTACCAACCCAACAAATATATCTCGCCATTCTAAATCTTTAATTTCATCTAACTCAAAAAGTTGTATTAAAGCCTGCCATAACCTTTGAACGCTCCCACAAGATAAAAATAAATGTTTGTATGTTTCTATTTCCTGCTTACAAAACGAACATAAATTATCACCAACAAAACCAAATCTATGAAGATGCTCATTAGTGTATATGGCTCCATGCAATAATTTAAATTGAAATTCACGTTGTTTTCTAATGAGTATAGTAATTCTTGGTCTAACAAATATTTCTTTTAATTCTTTATCTATAAAATCATAATCATTTTGCCCATCACTTACCTGCAAATCATACGTTCGTTGCAGTGCTTTGATAAAATAATCATAGATTGTTCTTGAACCCA